CATAGGGGTCTTTAGCAGTGGGAGGAAACCGGAGGACCCGGAGAAAACCCAAGAGGTTAGACAGGCGACCCTACTCCTTGTCACGTACCACCAGGGGATTCGAAACCACGCCAGTCGACTCAATGACAGACTTTATGATACAGCGCGCGCTTGCTAACCATTCAGCCATCCAACCCCCCCTTAATGTTAGGACCTAAAACTGTCATGAATGGCCTCTACCATTTTAAACACTGATTGCGGCCTGTATACGATAAACAAAAAGATAGGTTACCAGGCAACAAACATACGGCTACAGCAGCTAAAGCGTCCGAGCCGTCGACAAGGGTTGTTGCATATTTATTCTCTCTTATGTAATTGGGGGCATTTACAATACAATTTCAAATAGATCAGATTATAATTTTTGTCGTTTGAGGCTTCACAAGGTTCTACAAACTGAAAAAAGGGCCTAACTCTGGAAGTCATTTACAGAAAATATAAATTTCATACAGATTGGATGATAACTTTTGTCATTCGAAGGTTCACAAGGTTCACAAAGTAAAACAAGGGCCATAATTCTAGAAATAATTTACGGAAATTGCTGAAATTCAATAGACCTCTGTTTCACAAATTTAAATGATGAATATAAATTTCATACATATCTGATGATAACTTTCACCAATCGAGCATTAACAAGGTTGAACAAAGTGAAACAAGGGGTATAACTTGAGAAGTAATTATTTTAAATTGCTGAAATTCAATAGGCTTCTTGGTTTCACTAATCTAAATGATGCATATAAATTTCATACAGATCAGCTGATAACTTTTGGCATTACAGTGTTCACAAGGTTCAAGGTGAAACAAGGGCCATAACTCTAGACATAATTAACGGAAATTGCTGAGATTCGATAGGCTTGTTTGTTTCACAAATTCAAATAATGCATATAAATTTCACAAAGATTGGATGATAGTTTTTGGTGTTAGAGCATTCACAAGGTTCAACAAGGCCATAACTCTAGACGTAAAAAACGGAAATTTTTATTTTCACTAATTTAAATGACACATATAAATTTCATACAGATCGGCAGATAACTTTAGACGTTAGAGCATTCACAAGGTGCAACAAAGTTAAACAAGGGCCATAACTCTAGAAGTAATAAACGGAAACTGTTGAAATTCAATAGGATTCTTTGTTTCACTAATCTAAATAATACATATAAAATTCACAAAGATCAGATGATAACGTTCACAAGGTCCAATAAAGTGAAACAAGGGCCATAACTCTAGACGTAATAAATGGAAATTGCTCAAATTCAATATGTTTTTTCGTTTCACTAATTTTATTTAACATTGAATAAGAATAAAGACTCCTTTGGAATCAAGGGAGTATCATTTCAATTTAGTTTACCTTTAAAAACAGGTGAAAACTTCTTTTGTCTGCTTAGAAAGTTGAAGTACAGTAGGCTGTACCCTGTCGTTTTTGGTGCATGCCCAATCCCCAGTGGCAGAGAGCCATGCTCAAATTTTGTATGGCAGTTTGTCGCCTACAAGCCACAATTCTTAATAGATTGTCTTGAAGCTGTGCATTCTTATTCCTTATACCCTAAGAATGATCGCTATTGTTTTTGGTGCATGACAAACCCCCAGAGGCAGAGAAACACCTATTTTTTTCTTTGTGTGTCTGTGTTTTAATCATCTTGAAAACTTTTCATACTTATTCCTTATATCTTTAGGATGACCGCTATTATTTTTGGTGCATGCCCGACGCCCATTTTTTATGTTTATCGGCTAGGGGCCGCAATTCTGAATTGATCACCCTGGAATGTGACACTGCCCCTGGGGGAAAGGCATGCACCAAAATCAATAGTCGCCATCCTTTGGAAGTTCAGAATTGCAGCCTGTTGATGATAACACAAAAATCAAGTGCTGCTGTGCCCCGGGGGGTAGATCATGAAACAAATATCAGTAACAGTCATCCTTGGGTTTAAGGAATAATTTTGAAAAGTTTTCAAGACAATCCATTAAGAATTGCAGCCTGTAGACAAAACACACACAAAGAAACCAGCGGCTGCCAGGCAGAATATGCCCATATTTTGCAAGAGATGGATAGAGAACAAGCTAAAAACAAAAATGATTTTTTCTACAATCAGGGGCTATAATCCAGAAAGTTATGGTCTGAAATGCGCAAATATCAAAAGGGACGGAGATCTTTGGGATATAAAGATATGTTTTAAGTTTCATCATAATCAGATGAAAATTGTGACCTCTAGAGGGTCCACAACCTCGTATTGCATACTTTTACACAATTTGCGTACAAAGAGCGGACATTTTGTCGGGTAATTTCATGGTGTAATGGTGATATTGACATAATAAACACTTTACATTTGGTACACGAATTGTGTACCATAATGCCTTTCAGCGCTATTTGTAATAAAGGACTCGAAAAACGAGGCTAGGCATATTCCACATGTCATGTCAAACGGTGACGCTATATTCTTATCTGGAGAGCATGCCCAATAAATACTATCGGCGTAGACTGGGAAAACCAGACGCTATTTTTTTAAATTCGATTGAGAATACTGGCATATTTCGCCGAACCTAACTGATTAGAAATTACAGTAAAAACAGAAACGATTGAATGGAAATCAATTTATATATATTCATATTACATTAATGTATGCGTTGCGACCCATTTGTGTCAATTTCTAGGTACCAAATATTAGCGACTTAGCTCCTTTAAGAGATTACTCTAACGATAGGTTGCCAGGCAACGAAACATACGCCCACAGCAGCTAAATCGTCCGAGCAGTCAACAAGAGTTATCACATATTTTTATTTTTTTCGGTAATGAAACATTTATAAAACACTAAAATCTGCTTAAGAGTAACAACTCATTAAGTAATTATCAGAAAATCATTAGAATTTGTTTTTTTATTTAAAGTTCTGCCCTATGCTAACGTTTAGTATACGAAACATTTAATATCATGGATTTAGCTGTTCAAGTTATCAAAATTCATTGAAAATCAATATACTTGTTCGTCTCAAGACCTTAAACTCTGTGTATCAATCTGAAGTCAATCGGATGATAACTTTAGCCTCTAGAGTGTCACAAGATTTTTCAAAGTGATCAAGGGTCATAAGTTTGGCAGTAATAATCGGAAATCTTTAGACTTCGTTTCATGACCTTAAACACTTTGTATCAACTTAAAGTCAATCCGATATTAACTTTAGCCTCTAGAGCGTCCACAAAAATCAAGGGTCATAACTCTGGCAGTAATTATCGGAAATCGCTGAAAATCAATAGTTTTTTTTCGTCTCATGCCCTTAAACACTGTGTATAAATTTAAAGTCAATCAGATATTAACTTTAGCCATAACTCTGGCAGTAATTATCGGAAATCGCTGAAAATCAATAGGCTTCTTCGTCTCATGACCTGAAACACTGTGTATAAATTAGCTGTTCAAGTTATCAAAATTCATTGAAAATCAATAAACTTGTTCGTCTCAAGACCTTAAACTCTGTGTATCAATCTGAAGTCAATCGGATATTAACTTTAGCCTCTAGAGTGTCCGCAAAACTTTTTGAAGTGATCAAGGGCCATAACTCTGGAAGTAATTATCGGAAATCGCTAAAAAAAAACAATAGGCTTCTTCGTCTCACGACCTTAAACACTGTGTATCAATCAGATATTAACTTTAGCCTCTAGAGCGTCCACAAGATTTTTTGAAGTGATCAAGGGCCATAACTCTGGCAGTAATTATCGGAAATCGTTGAAAATCAATAGGCTTTTTCGTCTCATGACCTCAAACAGTGTGTATAAATTTAAGGTCCACAAGATTTTTCAAAGTGATCAAGGACCATAACTCTGGCAGTAATTATCGGAAATTGCTGAAAATCATTAAGCTTCTTCGTCTCAAGACCTTAAACACTGTGTATAAATTTAAAATCAATCGGATTTCAACTTTAGCCTCTAGAGCTTACACAAGCAATTGTTTGTGGACGCCGGACTGACGGAAGGACCGACAGGGGTGACAAAAGTATACGACCACATTTCAATGTGGGCGTATAAAAAGTTGATCAATGACTCGTATCGACAAATATTTTTATTAAACAAGTCAAAATTTAGGAAGTTGAAAATCTGACTTCATCTTCAAAGGGGAGATAATTAGAATTTTTGTGTTAATTTTGGCTTAATCCACCCATTTGTAATGTATTCTGAAAGTTTCAAGTCGAAATCTTCAAAAATAAAAATTTGCACTCTTTTCAATTTTAAGCTTAAAATTAGGCCATATGCAGGTGTCGTAGCAGCCACAATGACTGAAAGTAACAGTTGAAAAATACAAACAGCTACAAATTGGTGAAAACCGCATTCAAATTGGTTGAAAAACAAAAAAGTTTCCTTTAATGTCTCACATTTGTCTATTTTCGTCTATGACGTCACTTCCTGATAACTTTTCTAAAGTTTTATTTATTCATTATTTATTCCCAGTTAATACCTTTCAGACAGTATAGAGTATAATTCCGTAGAATATGTACTTTGTCCTAAAAAGAGTTAAATAATAATAATAATATTTATAACCAGCGGCAGCCAGGCAGGATACGCCCACATTTTCGAGAGATGGATAGAGAACAAACTAAAAAGAAAGTGACTTTTCCTACAATCAAGGGCCATAATTCAGGAAATTATATTTCGATATGCGCAATATCGAAAGGAACCGAGATCTTTGGGTTATAAACTTACATTTCAAGTTTTAACAAAATCGGATAAAAATTGTGACCTCTATAGGGTCCACAACCTTGATATACTGTACCAAAACAGTATAAAAACAATTGTCTTTATACTATGTAGTAGTATGGAAATGTCAATTTTCGTCCAGCAGCACTTTTATACACAGTATTGAAATATGATGCCATGTGATCCTTTAGCCAGAGCATGTCAAATATACCCCCATTCTATCGATTTGATTGGCTGAAATCTACAAATTATTTATAACTTCTAAAAAAATATAAAGAAATTTTATTACTTGGTACACCTGGTGGTCTGACACCTGGTGGTGGTACACCAGCAGCAGGAGGAGGTCCTCTCGGATGAAATGGGGCTGCAAATGAAAATATAACAAGCCAACAGTGAGGCTGATATCCCCCGTTGAAATCCCAAAATAAATAGATGACACATATTAATTAATCACACATTTATTTTTTTCAAAAACATCAAGCAAGCAAACTGATTATCAACTATACACTAAGTTTCATCATTCTCGATCAGATAGAATCAAAGTTATTTTGTCCCAAAGCATCGACAAATGAAATTGCTTAGCTTTAGCTCGAAATGTGAATCATAGAACTTAGTCATGACATTCATCTAATGAACATCTACATCAAGTTTAAACATTCTACCTCAATTAAAAGCAGAGTTGTTATGTTCCAAAGTCTTGACCAATCAAATTGCTTATTGCTCCTTAGCTTAAGCAGAAAATTCTCATCATCGACCCAGAGTAAACACCTACACCAAGTTTGAACATTCGGCGCTATTGCACTTTCGTACCTCTACCAGTTCCCGTGGTCGTAGGAACTTGAAATTATTAGAGGATGTTAAGGGGGACTAGCAATGACCACACACCAAATTTCAGCCGAATCGATCAATAACTTTTTTATTTTACCGACCTTTTAATTTCTAACGAGAGAGAACTTCATCTGTTTGACGCCATTTGCTTTGTTTACTATTTAGACTCGAATAACAAGACACTAAGACGGAAACCGACACACTGCACTAGCTGCCTATCTCTGCAGTTCATAAAAATTAATATAAAACCATGTTCTATAAAATACTATTTGGTGTTGATCAGTGGATTGGCCTTTAGGTGTGAATATTGCCGTGACCATGATTTTGACCTTGAGTCTTAACTTCCCATCCATATCAGGGCCTTTGCGTTTATGATTGCCGTGGCCTTATTTCTTACTGTATTTTCTAAGTTAATGTTCGAGGTGAAAGCAGAGACGACGTCCTTCAGAAAAGATAATTGGGTCAAAGTCGTAGGTCAAGGTCATGTTACAGAAAACTAAACTCAAACTTTTCAAAGTCATTTTTGGGACATTTGACCTTGACTTACGACCTTGACCCCGTAACCGTTTTCGAAGGCTATCACCTTGGCTTGAATCATGGACGTTTACCTTGGTTCTGTCACACACTGCTCGGTCAGAAAAGGGTCAAACGGAGAGGGGCCCCGTGTCCGAAAGGAAGTCAATGGGCGTGGTCAATGTGAAAGGTCGTGGTGATCTCCACTAGTCACCGTTGACCATCCGTGACCTTGACCCTGACCTAGTGTCCGAACTTCCCATCCATCTCGGGCCCTTTGCGTTTATGCGTGCCGTGACCTTATTTCTTACTGTATTATCAAAGTTAATGTTCGAGGTGAAAGCAGAGACGGCGTCATTCAGAAAAGATAATTGGGTCAAAGTCGTAGGTCAAGGTCATGTTACAGAAAACTAAACTGACTTTGAAAAGTTTAAGTTCAGTTTTCTGTAACATGACCTTGACCTACGACTTTGACCCATTTATCTTTTCTGAAGGACGTTGTCTCTGCTTTCACCTCAAGCATTAACTTTGATAATACAGTAAGAAATAGGGTCACGGCAAGCATAAACGAAAAGGGCCCGAGATGGATGGGAAGTTTGGACTCAAGGTCAAAGTCAAGGTCACGGATGATTAAAGGTGACTAGTGGAGGTCACCACGACCTTTCACATTGACCACGCCCATTGACTTCCTTTCGGACACGGGCCCTTTGCGTTTGACCCTTTTCTGACCGAACAGTGTGCGACAGGACCAAAGTAAACGTCGATGGTTCGAGCCAAGGTGATAGCCTTCGAAAATGGTTACGAGATCAAGGTCTTAAGTCAAGGTCAAATGTCCCAAAACTGACTTTGAAAAGTCCGAGTTTAGTTTTCTGTAAGATGACCTTGACCTACGACTTTGACCCAATTATCTTTTCTGGAGGACGTCGTCTCTGCTTTCACCTCGAACATTAACTTTAATAATACAGTTAGAAATAAGGCCACGGCAAGCATAAACGCAAAGGGCCCGAGATGGATGGGACGTTTGGACTCAAGGTTACGGATGGTGAACGGTGACTAGTGGAGGTCACCACGACCTTTCACATTGACCACGCCCATTGACTTCCTTTCGGACACGGACCCTCTGCGTTTGACTGTTTTCTGACCGAGCAGTGTGCGACAGGACCAAGTTAAACGTTCATGATTCAAGCCAATGTGATAGCCTTCGAAAATGGTTACGGGGTCAAGGTCGTAAGTCAAGGTCAAATGTCCCAAAAATGACTTTGAAAAGTTGAGTTTAGTTTTCTGTAACATGACCTTGACCTACGACTTTGACCCAATTATCTTTTCTGAAGGACGTCATCTCTGCTTTCACCTCGATCATTAACTTTGATAATACAGTAAGAAATAAGGCCACGGCAAGCATAAACGCAAAGGTCCCGATATGGATGGGAAGTTTGGCCTCAAGGTCAAAATCAAGGTCACGGCAATATTTACACCTAAAGGCCAATCCACTGATCAACACCAAATAGTATTTTATAGAAAATGGTGGCTTCGCGCAAAAATTAAAGTATACGAAAATTATATTAATTTTTATGAACTGCAGTGTTAGGCAGCTAGTGCAGTGTGTCGGTTTCCGTCTAAGTGTCTTGTTATTCGAGTCGGTTTCCGTCTTAGTGTCTTGTTATTCCAGTCTAATTAGTAAACAAAGCAAATGGCGTCAAACGGATGAAGTTCTCTCTCGTTAGAAATAAAAAGGTCGGTAAAATAAAAAGTTATTTATCGATTTGGCTGAAATTTGGTGTGTGGTCATTGCTAGCCCCCCTTAACATCCTCTGAAAATTTCAAGTGCCTATGACCACGGGAACTGGTAGATGTACGAAAGTGCAATAGCGCCGAACATTCTAGCTCAATTAGAAGGCGAGTTATTGTGTTCCAAAATCTTGGCCAATCAAATTGCTTATCGCTCTGCTTAACCTAAGCAGAAAATGCTCATTATCGAACTTAGTCAAGGTAGTGATGTAATGAAACTATACACCAAGTTTCATCACTCTCACTTAATTAGAACTAAAGTTATCATGTCCCAAAGCATCAACCAATCAGATTGCTTATCTCTGTTTACTGTAAGCAGACAATGTTTATCATCGAACTCCATCAAGTAATTCACCCAACGAACGTCTACACCAAGTTTGAACATTCTACCTCAATTAAAAGGAGAGTTATCATGTTTCAAAGATTGAACTTTCTAGCTCAATTAGAAGGAGTGCTATATATTGTGTTCCAAAGTGTGATGGCTAATCAAATTGCTTATCACTCTGCTTACCCCTGAGCAGAAAATGCTCACTATCAAACTTAGTCAAGATATTGATGTGATAAAACTATACATCAAGTTTTATCACTCTCACTCAATTAGAACTAAAGTTATTGTGTCCCAAACCACAAATCAATCAAATTGCTGATCTCCGCTCAGCCTAAGCAGAGAATTCTCATTTTTAAACTCCATCAAGGCATTGACGTAATAAACACCTACACTAAGTTTGAACATTCAATAACTTAGCAAATACGGGCCATACATGTTTTCATGAGCACGACAACACAGCTGAAAACAAATATGTACTTGTCGAGAGACTATCTTTTTGGGAACTACAAAATTACTGATATAATGACAGAGGTCAAATTAATCATGATAAACTGCATCACGTTAGGACCATTTTAACCATGTTTTGGACAATTATGCTACACGACACAACCCTCATCTGTGGCATTCAGAGAAAGGATTGGCTTCAAACAATATATGCCAGCCAAGCCTGTAAAATCTGGAATCAAGGTGTGAGTGAGGGCAGACCCCTTGGGGTATAAACCTACATTTTGAGTTTCATCAAAGTCGGACAAAAATTGTGAACTCTAGAGGGTCCAAAACCTTTGTATTGCTTACTTTTACACGATTTGGGTACAAGAAATGGCCATTTTGTTGAACAGTTTAGATTTACCGGAATTTCGATCTCAACCCACCCTATGTTGTAACGATGATATATGTAAAAAGTTTTTGAAATCGGATAAAAACCGTGACCTCTAGAGGGTCCACAACGTTGGTATTAAATACTTTTACACTATTTGCGTACAAGGAAAGGCCATTTTGTTGGGCAGTTTCAGTCCGATTTTTACAAAATTTGAACTCGCCCATCACCAGTGTGTAACTATGATATACTTAAACACTTTTCAAAATCGGATAAAAATTGTGATCTCTACAGGCTGCACAGGCTAAAATCTCAATTTTTTCACATAAAATCAGGAGCCATAATTATACTGGAAGTTACTGTCCGACATGCGCGACTATCGAAAGGAACCCAAGATCTTTGAGTAACGGTGTTATATTCTAACATTTTTTTTAAAATCGGATAAACCTTTATTTCAAGTTTTGTCAAAATCCGATAACGAGCGGCTGCCAGGCAGGATACGCCCACATTTTGCAAGAAATGGATAGATACCAAACTAAAAACAAAGATAGGTTGCCAGGCAACGAAACATACGCCCACAGCAGCTAAATCGTCCGGGCAGTCAACAAGAGTTGTTGCATATTTTAACTTTTTTCGGTAATGAAACATTTATAATACATTAAAATGTGATTAAGACTAGAGTAACAACTCATTAAGGCCGTCGTTCACACTTCATTTGGTGAATTTTAACAATAAAATCGTTTTTGAGGTTTTATGATTATCTGCGAGTAACACTATCTAGGAACACATACCAGTCATTTTTTTCACAAAATTCTTCTTTATTTCTACAAAATTTGGTTCTGAATGATCCCACCCTTTTTTTATTTTGCCCTAATTCCGCTAAAACTATTGATATAAATCTAAAAACAATAGGCATTTCATATGTGAAATACTCAGCTTCCGTGTTGGATACTGTTAGAAAGCTTGGGATTTCCCCTATTGAAAGGAAATGACTTTTTTGGGGGGGTCTTGAAACCTTTCCTCTGTATTGAGATAAAAATAGCAAGCAAGAACAAGTTTTGCATACCTAATGAGGTTATTTCGAGAATAC